GAGTCGGGAGCCGAGGCTTAGTTAGCACGAGACCGCTGCAGCGTGACACGCACTTGGTTTAAAAACTAATTCGTGTCGCTCTTCCTTCTGCCCGCGGCGGCCTGTCCTGCATTTTCTGTTTTTTTTCCGTTTGTCTTCCTGGCTGCGCCGTCACCCTTTAGCGTTTCATTCCAGGCTAATGTTGGATAAGTATGTGCTGTGGAGACCCGTGTGTCCACTTAGTCATCATAGATGCCTCCAGGAGTTGTCACACTCCATAGCACAGACCACCATGCTAGGGGCTGAGGATCCTACACTGGAATCTATGACATTTGCAAACGTTCTCCTTTACTTTGAGGGAGCTCATAGGAAAGAAAAGTGAATTCACATCGAGGTCTCCCCACACCTATGTCAATTAAAAGCTTTATGTTTTTTTTGTAAATGAAATGAATGGGACCTGACAGTAGTTAACTGTGCAGCTCCAAGGGGGATTTGAGACATACCGAAGTCCCTTTATGTACCTGGCAGCCCTTCTATTAGGAGGAGCAGGGAAAGTCTTTAATGAGTGCTAACCCTCAAGCCAGGCAATTTGTGTGCTTTTTGGATAAGTACCCTACCCATCACATTCACTGCTTTGTGGGAAAAGAAACCAATTCAACTGAGTTTCCCATGTGCAATGCTAGAGTGTATGCAATGTTCACACTATTATATTGAAGGACTTTAGAATTAACAAAGAAATAACTAAGAAGAAAAACAATCCTCTCACCCTAAGAACAGGGAGACCTGACTTAAAACCTAACCAAGGTCACAATGACCCAAGCCCCTGGAATTTCTTAGCTGGCAGATATAACTCCCTTACAAGGCCACAAGACAACCTAACTGAATACCAAGAATTCCTAGAGGGCCACCCTGCCCTAGGGTCATGAAGATAGAAACAGACTATCCCACTGAGCCAGGAGACCATCCGGCCCCAAAGATAAGAGATCTCCAAAGGATCTGTGACTCTGGTCACGTACCCAAACCCCTAAAATCCTATGGTTTTTTCTCCTATAAAAGGAGCCTGCTTTAGAGGAACAAGGCTTCTTCTTTGTCTGTCGGACTGGGAAGCCCGTTTGCGCAAACGTCCCATAATAAACTTACCTCTTGTTTTTGCATCAGCTGGACTGGACATTGAGTGTTTTTGGGGGGATCGTCCAATTTGTAGAGACTCCTCGGTCCGAGGGTCTTTCATTTGGAGGTCCCACCGAGATCAGGACACCCCCCAGACTCAATTTCACAGCCAGTTGGAGGTAAGACAGTCTATGTATTTGTGTGTATGTGTCTCTGTGTCTCTGTGTCTTTGTGTCTTGTAAGGAGTTTTGGTTCGGCCCAGACGAGAGTCTGAGGGCCATTTGGAGGAGGGAGAAGAGACGAAGTCTCATTTCTCTGGGGAAGCGGCCGCCCCAGACTTTGCTTCCCTCCCGCTTTGTAACTTGTTTTTTGGTTGATTAGCTTTTGGTTCGGCCCAGACGAGAGTCTGAGGGCCATTTGGAGGAGGGAGAAGAGACGAAGTCTCATTTCTCTGGGGAAGCGGCCGCCCCGGACTTTGCTTCCCTCCCGCTTTGTAAGCTTTTGGTTCGGCCCAGACGAGAGTCTGAGGGCCATTTGGAGGAGGGAGAAGAGACGAAGTCTCATTTCTCTGGGGAAGCGGCCGCCCCGGACTTGGCCTCCCTCCCGCTTTGTAACTTGTTTGGCGCCAACTGTCTACCGCGGTCCGTCCTGTCTGTTGTATTTCGTTCCACTGTGCTTGTTATTCGTGTCAATCTCTGCTTCTCCCCATGGGTCAGCAACTAACTACCCCCTTAAGTTTGACTTTAGGTCACTGGCAGGATGTTTTGAGCCGAGCACGCAAGGAATCAGTAGAGATCCGGAAGAAAAAGTGGCGGACTCTCTGTTTCTCGGAATGGCCTGCTCTCAATACAGGCTGGCCGAGAGACGGTACCTTTGACCTCACTACTATCTTACAGGTCAAAACTCGTGTTTTCCAGCCAGGACCTTGGGGCTACCCCGACCAGGTACCCTATATTGTCACCTGGGAGAGCCTGAGCCGTGATCCTCCTCCCTGGGTCAGGCCCTTCCTCCCACCCCGTCTTTCGGGCCCCTGCCCGACACCTCTGCCTTTGCCTGCTCCACTTATCCCTACTCCTTCTGCACCCCCTTCGACTTCTTCCCTGCTCCCCTTGACAGAGCCCCGATCTCCCAACCCTAGGCCCAAAGCCCCTGCCGTCTTGCCCAATACACAGGAGGATCTCCTCCTCCTGGACTCCCCTCCTCCTTACCCTAATGCTGAGCAGGCAGCATCCCAGCTCCCAGCAGCTGACCAGAGCCCCCCACCACCGAGCTCTACTACCGGAGACCCTGGGGACCCGTCGCCACCGTCCACCCGACTTCGATCTCGAAGAGACAAAACACTGGAGGGGCCTGACAGCTCTGGAATCTCCCAGGCTTTTCCCCTCCGGTCGATGGGGGAGGGGCGTTACCAATACTGGCCTTTCTCCTCTGCGGACCTTTATAATTGGAAGGCACATAACCCCCCCTTTTCACAGGACCCCCAGGCCTTGACAGGTCTTATTGAATCTATCCTCATCACCCACCAGCCCACCTGGGATGATTGTCAACAGTTATTAGGAATTCTCCTCACAACCGAGGAGAGACAACGGGTACTCCTAGAAGCCCGGAAGAACGTCCCGGGGCCAGATGGCAGACCCACCCAGCTCCCAAATGAAATAGATGAAGTCTTTCCCTTGATCAGACCGACAGACTGGGACATCAACACAGCAGCCGGTAGGGAGCGTCACCGTCTTTATCGCCAGACTCTGTTGGCGGGTCTCAAAGGGGCAGGAAGGCGCCCCACAAATTTGGCCAAGGTACGTGCGGTAGTTCAGGGCTTGGAAGAGACCCCCGCAGGGTTTCTAGAGCGTTTGATGGAAGCCTACAGAATGTATACACCCTTTGACCCCCAGGCTCAGGATAGGGAAGCAGATATAATCATGTCATTCATTGGACAATCGGCGCCTGACATACGCACAAAGCTACAGCGCCTTGAGGGGCTACAGGGGTACACCCTTCGAGACTTAGTAAAGGAAGCAGAAAAGATTTTCAATAAGAGAGAGACTCCCGAAGAAAAGGAAGAAAGATTACGAAAGTTACAGGAGGACAGGGAGAATGTAAGAGACAAAAAGCAAAACCAAGAGCTAGCTAAAATTTTGGCCACTGTAGTTCAAGGATCAAAACATAGACCAGGTCAGACAGGGAACCTGGGAGACAAAAGGAGAACAAGAGTGGAGAGAAACCAGTGTGCTTATTGCAAGGAAAAAGGACATTGGGTCAAACATTGCCCGAAGAATCCAAGGCGGAAGCCCACCCCCATTCTCCCTCTGGAAAAGGGAGATTAGGACAGTCAGGGCCAGGTGCCTCCCCCTGAGCCCCGGGTAACTCTTAACGTCGGGGGGCAACCCGTAACTTTCTTGGTAGACACGGGAGCTCAGCACTCAGTCCTGACTCAGACCCAGGGACCCCTGAGCACCCGGACAGCCTGGGTCCAGGGTGCCACCGGAGGAAAGCTACATCGATGGACAACTGAACGTAAGGTCCACCTGAGCACTGGACACGTGACTCACTCCTTCTTGCTGGTGCCCGAATGTCCTTACCCCTTATTAGGGAGAGACCTCCTCTCTAAAGTGGGAGCCCACATTCACTTCCATCAGAAGGGTGCCACCATCACAGGAGAGGGGGGACAACCCCTCCAGGTACTGACCTTAAGGCTCGAGGATGAATATAGACTTCTAGAGGATCCCTTACCCCCCTCGCCAACCATGGAGTCTAGCTGGTTAGAAAAATATCCCCAAGCCTGGGCAGAAACAGCAGGCATGGGGTTGGCAAAAAAACAGCCTCCTTTAATTATCAACCTCAAGCCCTCAGCCACTCCAGCGGCCATTAAACAATATCCTTTGAGCCAAGAGGCCCGGGAAGGAATCAGGCCACACATTAATAGACTATTACAACAAGGCATCCTTAGGCCCTGTCACAGCCCTTGGAATACCCCCCTTCTCCCCATAAAGAAACCAGGTACGGGAGAGTACAGGCCCGTTCAAGACCTTCGGGAGGTCAACCGGAGAACTGAGGACATCCATCCGACAGTGCCCAATCCTTATAACTTGCTGAGCATGTTGCCTCCGAGCCACATCTGGTACACGGTGCTAGATCTTAAGGATGCATTCTTTTGCCTCAGACTGAGTCCCCAGAGCCAGCCCATGTTCGCGTTTGAATGGAAGGACCCGGAGACTGGGTTTTCTGGCCAGCTCACTTGGACACGGCTCCCCCAGGGGTTCAAAAACTCACCAACTCTCTTCGATGAGGCCTTACACCAAGACCTAGCAGACTTCCGGATCCATAACCCTAACCTGATCCTGCTTCAATACGTAGATGACCTCCTCCTGGCAGCGGAATCTGAAAAAGACTGCCTCCAAGGTACCGGGGCCTTACTGCAAAAGCTGGGGGAATTGGGGTACAGAGCTTCAGCAAAGAAAGCTCAACTTTGCAGGGAACAGGTCACCTACTTAGGATACCGGCTCCAGGGTGGCCAGAGATGGCTAACAGAGAGCCGTAAGCAAGCTGTAGCCCTGATTCCAGCACCCAAGAGCTCCCGGGAAGTTCGGGAATTCCTGGGCAGCGCAGGGTTCTGCCGTCTCTGGATCCCAGGTTTCGCGGAGCTGGCAGCCCCACTGTATCCTCTGACTAAGGCTAACACCCCTTTTTCATGGACAGAGGAGCATCAGAAGGCCTTTGATGGCATCAAAAAGGCCTTACTGTCTGCCCCTGCACTAAGCCTCCCCAACATAAACAAGCCTTTCACCCTTTATGTGGACGAAAAGGCTGGGATGGCAAAAGGGGTCTTAACACAACAGCTCGGACCCTGGAAAAGACCTGTAGCATACTTCTCTAAGAAATTGGACAATGTGGCCATGGGCTGGCCCCCCTGCCTCCGGATGGTGGCTGCTGTGGCGGTTCTGACCAAGGACGCGGACAGATTGACTCTGGGTCAGCAACTCACAGTGATAGCCCCACATGCGATTGAGGCAGTGGTCCGACAACCCCCCGATCGATGGCTTTCGAATGCACGAATGACACATTACCAGGCTCTGCTCCTCAACCCAGACAGACTGCGATTCGGGGCAGCAACATCCTTAAACCCAGCCACCCTCCTTCCGGATGCGGATGCCGAAACTGCTCTGCCCCATGACTGCCGCCTAATCCTGGCCGAGACCTGCGGAGCCCGAGAAGACCTGATGGATCAACCACTACAAGGAGCCGAGCATACCTGGTTCACAGACGGGAGCAGTTTTCTGCAAGACGGTATACGAAAGGCAGGGGCGGCGGTGGTGGACGGGCAGACTACAATATGGGCCAGTGCCTTGCCGCCAGGAACCTCAGCCCAGAGAGCAGAGCTGATTGCCCTGACCCAAGCACTCAAAATGGCTGAAGGTCGTAGAGTCAA